TTGTTAGCCCTACTCTAGCAAACATTTGCAGGTGCTTAGTCAACATGTTAAGAATCCCAAAAATAGGCAATGCAGATTGAAATTGATGAGGCTTGCTTAGGCCCTAGAATGGGTAACTGGTAACTGGGTAACGGGCTTAGCTCGTGCCCTAACATGATATTTTGAAATGTTTAAGTTTTCATTGAGAATAGCTTAGGACGTTTAGGAAAGCTTAGTGTATATCAGAATGTTGTTATTTAAGATGTTGAGATTTAGAATACAGTAATAAAAGCACACATAGTAAAAGTTTAATTTGAATATCATAATTTTCTAATAATATATTCTATTTAACTTATAATACAACTTTTCGGCTTTTTGGTTTAGAGTTATCACCTTATTTTAGACCTAAGGCCTAAATATACCATAATTTGTTTTAAATAACCAAGAATTTCCGCTTGCTGATTTGCCAGCCACACAAAGTATTTATAAGCTGAAGCACACTCAAGTGGTTAGTAACAGACACACCTGCCGTCACCTGTCTACTCCCTACTACAGCTATCTATCAAATTGTATTTTGGGTTGCGTTTCCCCAGGGACAACAAAATAAACAAATTTGTTATAATCATATGTGACGCCTGACTGACTTACATATATAAGCACATGTATACAAATATATGTATTTATATTTTTCTGCATAGATATGTATTTATGGTGTGTATTTGCATATGTGGTGGGTGTTCGAATACCCTGTAACCCCTGAAAAGGATAAAGGGAGTCCAATCAAATTGGGTGTTTGGTCAAGTAACAGCAGAGATAACACCGACGGCTGCGGACATCATCCAACAGCAGAAAATAACAATCATAATTACAGCCTAAGAGCAAATAGTTTTTTGCGCGCTCTTTGTAAGCTGCTGCCCACTCTCCTTCTGCATTGCTTTGCTTTGCATTGCTGCCCTTCGCTCTAACCGGCGAGCGTCTTATTGGAGTTTCGTTTCGATTCGCTTTACATATTGTCATAGTTAGTCTGTCTTTCGTTTGATCGCAACCTAGGCACAACTAATTCGAGTTGGCTGCCAAGCAACAATATAAAACTTATAAATTCTAATAAGTGCCCTGCGCGGCAAATAAATCCAATGAAAAATAATCTAAGTGTTTGAATTTCGCTGCACAAGCAGTTAGAATTAATTGGTTGCAAAAAAGCTTGCAACTACACATTGGGCTTGAATATCTAAGACGGACACAATAAAGTATGTTTATAAATATATATGTTCTTCACCAGCATCAAAAGCGGAGTCGATCTACCTTCTCTCTGATCTTCACATTTTATATGGATATAAGCTCCACGCTCATCATCTGGTTCTCATACAGCAATATTTTAATCTTTGGATATCTCTCCTACTTAGCCCAACTGTGAAATCCAATGCAATTTTTATAGTGCTGTGTTCTTATTAAATATACGGTATATTCAAGTCGGGCACCCTTGAATACATCACTTTTTCTTGTTTGTATTTGTTGTGGCTGTGTCCATTTATGGATTTTGTACAACTTGTGATTTGTGCTGTGTGATATCTTTTGTGATTGTCAAAAAAAAAAAAAAAAAAAAACGGACATTGACAGACAATATCTGATAAATTGAGATTCGGTCTTTCAGCTGTGTTGCATTTTGTTAACTTAATTTGATATTTGGGTATTTGGCTTCAAATTCAACAGCTTTTCCAATGAGCAATGCATATTGATGAAATGATTTAAACAATTGATGAAGTTGTTGGCTGCTTGCGTAATGTTATTAGGCTGCTTTGCTTTAAATAACTTCGTCTTTCAATTGTTTAAAATTTTGTAGGTTTTCCTCTTAGGCACACAATATAGCTTTTGCCATTAGTTTTTGAAATTGGATTACACAATTAATAAGAAAATCCGTGTAAGTTGTGCTTACAAAGTAACCAAAAAGTGTTTAAAGTCTCAGACCAACTTTCCGTAGCATATTCCAAATTACCTTCTGACTGCCTCATTTCCCACCTTACCCGTCTTAAGCACTATAAGGGACTTTATATTATTGCGTTTGGGCTTCTGTAGCATATTTAATTTGCAACATTTTTGCTTTGATTTAAAAGTTCCGGCACAGGACTTTTACATAAGCCAAGGTGAAAAATACCGGCTAGTGCAGTAAACTACAAACAAACTATCACAATGGAGAGCAGCCCGAAAAGGCTTTCATTAGAGAGTTTACAGTAAAACGTACGCATATACATATAATGCATACAAATATATAGCTTCAGACTATCATTAATTACGTTTTTATTTAAAAATAATTTTTGCATTTTGATTTCGACACTTTTCATGCAAAGCAGAAGCATGAATTGCAAACATATTTATTTTTGTTTATTTGTTCATTGTATATCCAATTATTTATGGAAGACCAATTACTTTATTTGTCGTAACAACAAATCAGGTCTTATGTTTAGCGCATGTTGATATGTGTGTGCACATATTTATTTATTTGTTGATGTACAATTAAACATGATTTTAATTATATGAATATTGTGTATTTATAAAGTTTTGGTCATTTGTGTCAATAAAATTAACATAAGTCGAGACAAACAAACACGAGCAACGACAATACAAGAACAAGCCACAAGCAAATGCACACAGACACATAAACACACAGACACACGCACACAGACATGTTCACACAAAGCAATTTCAGTCTTAATGAGCAGCGCGCGGCTCGAAGACAAGGTCAAGCAACTATCCTGCTCACTCGCTTTGCCCTGCGCGCCGCCTGAGGCTGATAAAGATGATAAGCCAAAGGGAATCGCCGCCAGTTTATGTTCACGTAGTGCACGACACAAGGCAAGGGAAATATTAGGGGTGGGTACCAAACAAAAGATTTTTAGTTCACTGTTATAACAGTGTTGTATAACAGAGTATTTCCCCTTAACAGACAGCTTCTTGCTTAGCTCGATTCTGAACCACAACACAAATTGATGTCATAAAATATTAAAATAAATGTGATAATAATTTATACATAAATATATGAAATCTATGAGTTTAAATGTTAGTGAAATTGTTCAGTTCAGTTCCTTTTAAGGTTCTTGATACTGCTTCAAAATAAAAAAAAAAAAAACAATTATTCTTCCCCCTTGTTCAATGTAGATGTTAAAATTATTGCACTGAACTTTGCCAAGAAGATAATGTGATTGTTAACTAAAAGACATATGAAAAACAAGTCATAACCAAAGCTTTTTGAGGTATGTTCTCTGTCAAGAAACTCGTCTACCTACCTTAAACTGTTATCCCATATTCGATTGGTCAACTCTAGTTAAGTAGATTGCCTACATAAAAGCCATGACGCATCCTGCAGCATTTATCGCGCTTGCTAAGCACATTTGAGAGGGCTGACAACCCTGAAATAGCTGTTGGCAATTGTGGCAAATGCGTGGAATCTGTGAATCCAGTTTGAATCCAGCTGCCAAGTGCTGCGTCACTGTGTGTCAAATTAATGACAATGCAGTAAAAGAGTAGAATACGAAAGTAAAATGCTGCGCGTAATGATAAACATTTCAAAAGTTTTCGACAGCGGAAATTGTGCGTGGCACATCGCAACGGAAACCAACCAAAAAGCCAATTGGAAATTGTTCAGCTAAATTACTGTAAATATCTAAACAAGTTTTTGCCAAATCGCGTCAAACATATTACGATGCATTGCACAATACACGCAACTATTTGAAAATCCGTAAATTGGCAAACAGAAAACAATTTTGGATGCACACAACATGCAACGTCCTCCGAAAATCCAATAAAATAGGCTCCCGTGCCCAGCCACGAACGGGGGCGTGTTAATCCAATTGGAAGGCAAATTGAACTGGTCAGCCTGTAGGCCAATCGTTGTGACTGCCCCCAACTTCTACAATGCTAATGGCATTTGTATGCTGCCACAGGGCTGGCAGCCAGCTAACAATCTGCAGTGGTCGGCATAGTTGCATGTTGCGTGAATAGACATGCCACATGGCAAAAAAAAAGTTTATCAAAAAAGGCATTAGGCCCAGTGTTTTTGAATTTCTTCGTGCCTTTAAAGCGGATGCGGATTGTCTTGCTGTCATGCTTGAGTCCAATATATGTCCCCCAAGGCCCTTGACCTTTTATATGCGCCTCTCTTAGCTTTTCATAATCGATGAGCAAGCGAGTCCCCAAAGGCTTCACACCGAAACAGCTGCACAGACGGCGCCCCTTAATAAAGGGTTTCCAACTTTGACCTGCACCTTTTTTTTACTTTTTTTGCAGACTCGGCAAATACATAATAAGTGAGGCCAATGTAGAAAGACGCACAAAAAGTTCGGCAGCGTTAGTTGATGAGGGGGAAACTTTATAAGGCTACCGGCATTTTTACAACCGCTCCCCAAAGATTTTGGCTCCTGTATGTGCGCGTGTGCGAGTGTGTGAGTGTGTGAGTGTGTGTGTCAGATGTGCAAATTGATGTGAGAGCCTGAAAAGTGGTTTAAAGAGAAAACAATATTGTATTAAAAGGTTTTAAGACCATAAACGAGTGGCTGCTCTAGAAAATAGAAATGAAATTTTGTGATATTCAAGGGTTTTGATTAAACGTTTAAGTGCCTGTAATAAACTTAATATGAATCTGTATCCATTAAAGTGAAGTCTGTTTTGTACACAAACATTATAAATATGTATCACAAGCTTAATCTTGTTCTACTATAATAAAATCTATTTATATATGTCCCTTCGTGGTATTTTTAGAGTTTAAATTGTTTAAAAGAAATGTTTAATGTTTCCATTCGTATGTTTTTATTAAGCTAAGGCTGTAAAATTTAAATCTATCAAAGCGCGCGTAAATTTTCAGCCTACATAATTCGATTGTCATAGCAGCCAGCTTCTTAACATGCTTAGTGCTGCGAAACAGCTGACGCCAAAAACTTATATATCGATAGAGCTGCAGTCGATAGTTTCTTCCTTAACGCTTGCCATGCTATATCATTATATCGTTTGCTGTTGTCACAATCGATAGTAAACCAAGCAATAGCACAGCAGCTGTGCAATTAAAGAATAAGAAATAAATTGCAAATTAAACGCAGACAGTAATCAAAATGGCTCAGGATATGCTGCTCGGCAATGAAGAGCCCAGCAACAACAAGGAGACATTTCTGCAGCAGTTCTGCCTGCTGGCCAAGAACGCAACCGGCGCCGCGCTGCTGGATGTCATAAAACAAGTGCTGGACGCGCCGAATGTGTTTGTGTTCGGTGAGCTACTGGCGGAGCCCAATGTGGCCGAAGTAGGTACCCGGTAATATCCACTCCAAGCCTAGCTAAAGTTTATTTTTGCTACAGCTGAAAGACGGACCCGATGCCAAGTACTACAACACGCTGAATTTGTTCGCCTACGGCACCTACAAACAGTTCCGGGCACAGCAGCAGGAATACATTGAACTGACGCCCGCGATGCAGAAGAAGCTGCAGCATCTGACCATCGTCTCGCTGGCCATTAAATCCAAAAGCATTCCGTATGCAGTGTTGCTGAATGAACTGGAAATCGATAATGTGCGACACCTGGAGGATATCATCATAGAGGCCATTTATGCAGGTGCGTAAATTATCTATTTGTACACCAAATTGGTATCATTCGATGTGGAATACTTCGGAGCTTGCAAAGTGGAGGTGTGCTATGAATTGATGTAAGAATATATAAATATTCAAGATTCCAATACGAATTTCATAAGGAAAAATTTATATAACGCTTGGCAAAAACTTATAATTTATACCCTTGCTGACGGTATTATAATATTGTTTCTAAATATATAACGCATAAGAGACATGTCCGACCCCATAAAGTATATATATTCTTGATCAGTACCAACAGCCGAGCCCGTTTGTCTGTTTTTATGCGTACTAGTCAGTCAGTTTTAAAGCTATCGTCATCAAACTTTGCATACGTTCCCATTTCTGTTGCACGCAGTCCGTATGCCTAAACCGGCTGGATCGGACTACTATATCATAAAGCTGCCATATGAAGGATCGGTTGAAAATGAGGCTTCTGTATGAAAAACTTTTTTTTTATCAAGATATCTTAGCCAAACTGGACATTTATAAGTGTAACTATGCTTCTCCTATATATGCAAAATCCTTTCAGCATCAGAACACTGTATCTAAATATTCATTATATTTAATTAAGTTATTTTATGGCATCATATTCGGTTTTCCAAGATTTTTTTGTCAATCTCAGCATTTACGAGCACATCACATCTCTGCAAGTGTATTAAATCTCCGGCGTACCAAAGATAACTTTACTTTCTCGTAGCGGGTATTGCCCGGCCTTGCCCGTAGATCATTGTGCTAAAAGTTTTAGGTATTATCTTTCCACTAAGTATACGCTCGTGAAAAATTGAAATCTCCTTAAAATAAGAAACCCGGATTTATTTGTTTATATGTCTATTAATAGAGAACAAATTAATTTGATTAGTGAAATATTTTTGGTTTAAAAATGTATTGCTAGGTCCAGTCCATCAGGTACTTCATTTGTAAAATAAAAAACAATATTCGCGACTAAAACAAGTTGGGTGGTTAAGGTGATGTCCGCTTGTAAGAACCGTCCAAAAGAGATTGGTCAGCTTCCTGCTCCATCTCTCTATACCTGATTCTCCTTCTCTCCGAACTAAAGCTGCATTCATCAGACTTTGCAAAGGGTCCTTTATCTGTTGTCGACGGAATCGAGTGGATGCTTTAGAAACATCGGTTTCGTTCTGGTACGAAAACGTTTCTTGTTTTTCTATAGAAAAAATCGATCGTGTATATGAAATGTGGCCATCTTAACATTTAGAAGTTATTAAAGTCACTCTACTTCTACCATGTCAAAAACTTCTCTAACTTGACTAAACTCAGCTTCAATCTTCTCGCCTCATATTTGTAAAACCGTATTAAAAAGACTGTCTAGCTCCTGTAGGGACAATCAGTCAAAAATATAGAATTTATATCATATCAAAGAAGCTTACACATTAAAGTATTTTAAAAATCAAAGCAACAAACAAATTACATTATAATAAAATTTTAGTTCATTATCATATCAAAAGTTTTATTACCGCAGATATACCGTAATACTGCAAGGGTAATTAATCTTTTTAAGGGGGTAAAAAATGCAAATTGTAGCTGTAATTAAAAAACTTTTAGCAAGCATCACCCCAGACGACATCCGCAAAACTTTACTCAAAGCTAGTTGAGCATAAAATAAGTTAACTGCATTAAATTTATTTCAAAAATTGCAGCGTGCGTGCGTAATCAGAGTTTGCGATAAGCTAAAGTCGCGTAATGTTGTTTCTCGATCTGCATTTTGTTTTGAATCCTTCGTATGATAATAATAATTATATTAGCGTAGCTAACACTTTTCCGCTTTAACTGATGCATTTATATATTACCACTAATTAGGTGGTATACATCATTTTAAAAGGGCCTGTAAATACAATTTAATTCACCATGCGACTGCTACGGCTATCTCCCTTTTGCCCCACAAATTGCCGTTATGTTTCACAAGTTTCACATTAAATCTTACATAATTAAATCAAATGGTAATTTTTCAATTTTTCCGACTGGCTAACGAACGACGAGCGCGCCTCAATTACCATTTTAAGGCCGCAGCAACAGCTGAGAAGGCATCAAAACGGACTCAATGACGTGAATGTTACACCCCAGAATATTATTCGCGACTGACTGACTGTCTGACTGACTGGTAACAGTTGGTACGAATTCTAAATAAACTCGTGTCATGTTTCTCGTCTGCTTCAACTCCTGCTAAGGCAGTGCACTTGATTAGCCCAGTTAGTGGACATTCCTTTACCTTTCTCCTCCTAACGCGTGCTTTTTTAGAATTTATTAAATAACGTGGGCCGTTGTCGGAAAACAGTCTGACTAACCGAAAATCAAACCCACCAGTTGCTCCCTTAAGTTTGCCATGATAATATTTTACTGGCCTGAAGTAAATTCAACTTAAATGTAGTGGGTGGCAGCATTCACTTTGTTTTACGTTGAGTTCTTGGTAAGTGCATGGTTAAAGGAATCTTTAACCGTATATAAATTGTGGCATTTATTTTACATTTGAAAGAAGTAGAAATCAACTTTTAAATACCTTGCATACTATTTATATATAAAAAATGCATTTTTCTTTTTCTATAAATTAATATCATAAATATATTACATATGTCGAAACCGGATCAGACGACTATATCGTAAAGCTGACTTAGGAACGATCAGTCGACATGAATGTTATGGTTTGGCAACACTGTGATCCCCATGAAAAATCTTATCCATATCGTTTCACTATATGATAATTTACCACTGTTGCGGGAGAAATTTCCCAAATCGCTGAAACACGTATTCATGAAGTTTTTATGTGGAGCTTTGAATTTAGAAATGAATTTGAGTCAATCCAAATTTTTCTTATCTATATGAACAAACCGTCGCATATAAAATTTTTGTATCAACAAATCGTCCCAATATCACAAGTTTGCTACGGTAGTCAATCTTCCTCTTACTTTAAATTAATTAAAATAAAATATGACTTCAACGTCGCATTTTAAGATGAATTTTTGCTAGATGCCCCATATTTTGTTGCAAACCTAATTAGCTTACATTTCTGCTGAGCTGACCCCTTGCGCCTGAGAGCATGAATACCCTAATAGCCTCAGGGGATAAAATGCATTCAGGTATTTTCGAAGAATTTTCCAACCAAAGCTGTTGCCATTTGCGTATTTTGTGGCTTATTTGTTGTAGCATGTAGTAAAGCAACTGAAAATGTTGCAACATACTTTTATTTCCAAATTTTCAGAGGTTTCTCTCTCGTTCTCTCTCTTCTTTCCCTCCAGCAGCGCCTCCCGCTATTTTTAATTAATTTCAGCTGGGCTTGTACAGCATTCTAGCTAACTATTTGACCCCCTATTGCAGTGAATTTACATTCTGTTGTGTGCAGCTCGCAAAAGCCACAAGTTATACGCAACCAGAGCCAATCCCCAAAAAATTGTTAGGATTGCTGCATTGATTAGAAAACTCGCGCGGATTTTCTCGCATGCTGTTGACTTTTCGGCCTAGGCCAAAGCAAGCCGCACAAATAGCTTTGGAAATAGCCCAACTAACTGCCAGTTGTAATATTGCTCAGCTCAACAAATGCAACCAACCAAAAATGTTGCGAACGGGCGCAACCGACTTCGTAATACTCGTTCGGGATCCAATATCTGGTTATGAATTTGCCTAATGTGCCACGCAAGAATAGAATATATAGAATATAGAAGAATCTTTCTGTATTTGATATTCAAAAATTGGATTCTAAAGCTATCGAAAATATATAATCTTAAGACTTTCTCTAACGCGAGTACACACAAGGACATATATAAAGCTTTTTAGGTCGCAATAGTGTCAACAAAAAAAAAAAATTGCGTTCATATGGACAGCAAGGCGGACATTCTACATAACCTATATACTCCTTTCAGTCGTGTGAAAGAGTATACAAACTGTGGACGCCGTACTGTTGCGCGGCTGAGCCACACACCCGATTAAAAGCTTTTTTTGTCTATTTTCTGTAGCAGCAATTTCCAAAGAGAAACAAACATTTTTACGCTCAAAACTAAACCATTAAACAATATTCATATAAAAAGCAAGCCGGCCGCGACTGCTTGACTGAAAAATACTATCTAAACTTGACTTTTGCAATCAAATATAAACAAATTTTATATTTTAAAGTTAAAAAAGAAAAAACCATTTGTATGAATGAGTACAGCAAAATAGTTCATTAAATTTTTGCATTTTTAAGCTATGGCAAGCTGTGAATTTAATGGAATAAATGCGGAAATCTGAAAGGCGCAGCTCTTACAATAAGCATATATCCATTTATATAGAAATATGATATTGCTTGACGTGATATCTAATGGGACGCATTTGCTCACTTCTCGTAATGGGATAACCCTGCATCACACTTTCTACATTTGCATTAGTACAGGGTACGCTTAAAATAAATAGAGCTTTAATATAATCTCCTCGTCCATTATCGAAGTAATCAACAGAGCAAATAAAGTGATAACTGAATGTTGTTAGACCATAGCTCGTGGGCTTTAGGCAGTCTGTCCTCATAAATAAGACGCAGTACGCAGAGTGGCTGTCCAGGCGAACTACCTGTTTAATTGCTTTTCAAATTCAAAACAAAATCCCGGCCACAGACGCAGCCAGGAGCAACGGCAGAGATTTATATTATGATAGGCATCATTGAGCCATCACGAGAGGGCGACAATCTGGACACCTAAAAAGCGTTGCATACTATTAGGCGCTGTAATCTAAAATCGCAATTGGATAGGCATTGTGAGGCGGTCGCGGGGATTGTAGACATAAGCTGCCATTAGGCAGCTACGGGGCACCACAGGACATGACTCCTGTTGTTTGCAGTAGCTTTTAGGGTGCTTTGTGTGCCGTTAATGTTTGCTCTTCCCTTACGTTTCACGGGGGCCCATTAGAGCATCATTTGTCTTGGCAGCGCGCTGATAAGCATGCCGTCGGAGGTGTTGTGTCCCAAGGTGCTTACGTTAATTAAATGCGTTCTATAATTGAAAC